AAAGACCTTTGAGTTCGATTACACTCAACTCAAAGGCACATCATTTACAGCATATCTCAAGGCAAGAAAGGTTATCTGCCAACAAAAGTCCTTCGAGTTTGATTATACTCAGCTAAAAAGAACATCATTTGCAGCATAACTCAAGGCAAGAAGGGTTATCTGCCAACAAAAGACCTTCGATTTCTATTACGCTCAGCTCAAAGGCACATCATTTGCAGTATAGCTCAAGGCAAGAAGGGCTATCTGCCAACAGAAGACCTTCGAGTTCGATTACACTCAGCTCAAAGAAACATTATTTGCAGCATATCTCAAGGCAAGAATGGTTATCTGCCAACAAAAGACCTTCGAGTTCGATTACATTCAGCTCAAAGGCATATCAAATTTATAGCATAACTCAATGTGAGAAGGGTTATCTGTCATCAAAGACCTTCTCGATTACATTCAACTCAGAGGCAAATCAAATTTATAGCATAACTCAAGGTGAGAAGGGTTATTTGTCATCAAAGACCTTCGAGTTCGATTACATTCAACTCAGAGGCAAATCAAATTTACAGCATAGCTCAAAGAAAGAAGGGTTATCTGTCAACAAAATTGTCGAGTTCGATTACATTCAACTCAGAGGCAAATTAAATTTACAACATAGCTCAAGGCAAGAAGGGTTATATGTCAATAAAATTGTCGAGTTCGGTTCCATTCAGCTCGATGACACATCAATCACACTACTTTCCGGTTGCAGGTCAAGGTTTTCAAGTCGAAAAGAAGACCAGGGTTAGTCGTGCCTTAGTGACAAGAAACCTTTTTCTGGCAGCATAACTTAAGTCGAGAAAGGCTATCTGTCAACGAATATTTCTGAGTTTGATTTTGAGAGACTATCAACCACATGGTGGAGTCAAGGAACTATTTTTTAGTCAAATTTTTAAACCAATGTCTTTAAACCGTGAAGAAAACCGAAGGTGACTACAATTTGGCAACGAGAAGTCACATTCCAATTCAAATTCCGAACTACGACTTCCATTCCATATCATTTCAAGATAGACTTGACTTCGCGACGGAGAGTCATCCACAATTAAATTCGACAAGGAGTTATTCTTAATTGAAATATCAGAGCCAATTTTCAACTCCACCGAAGGAAAATTAGTGTCTTTTTATCTTTGTCATATTTTTTGTTCCACGAAAAATGACAAAGAGGGGCAGCTGTAGGCACTAATTTTTCACCACCAAAATCTCAACCCACCTCCCCCGATTCTCGGCACAGTCAACAACCATAACCCAACAAACACAGTGTTTCAGTCCAAACAAAACTCTAAACAGCACCTAAAAATAGAGTTTTGAAACATTATATATAAAGGGGAAGAACACAAGGAAAGGAGGCATCAGTTTTGAAAGCAACACATAATAATCGAAAAGAAATACGGGGGGAAAAAGTACAGTAGAAAGATACGGGGGAAACAGATTCGAAAAAGAAAGATAGCGACTTTTACCATTCGGCTGGAGTTCTTCACCGACGACAGAGACTTCCGTTCAAAGATCCCAATGGTGAAACGGGAGAAAGAAAGGTGGTGAACAACATATTTTAAAATCGGGATGATCCGACGGCTAGAAGTGACAGATCGGAGTGAAAGAAGCATGATAGTTTTGACATTTTCAGGACCAATGATGCACTTTCTGGTAAAACGAACCCTGTACCCAAACTCCTCTTGCTGAGAAGAAGCGTTCGGTGTAGTTTGGTCACTGTTGGAGAATAACGGCGACGGACGAAGGTCCTTCTGTTTCCGGCGAGAAAACAACGAAGCGCTCACCCTCCTTTTTTTAGTCTCGGTAACAAATGAAATTTGTTTTCTTTTTTCGTTTTAAAATGAAATGTGGTTTTAATCTGACATAGCAAGTGGAGCCCACCAATTGTATTATATTGGGAAAACTACTTATTTGGTCACTTGACATTTGATGAATTATGTTAGCTTTATTTTTCCTTTAAGTTTGGCACTATATTATGCATACAATTCATTATGGTCCTAGAACTTTAATTTTAAATTGAATCCTTAGATTTAGATTTCAATTATTTTAGTCCTGATTTAGATTATTTTATCTAGTATCGTTTTCTTTATTATTATTTTTAAAACTTTTTTTCATTTTTTTATTTCTCTTTTTACATTTCTTATATATATATACATTTTTTATTTTTTTATTTTATTTACTTTATTATTTTTTTATATTTTTTTCTTAATCCAACATTTTTTCCTTTTTTTCTCTTTGGTTTACTAAAATATTTATTTATTTATTTCTATTTTACAATCTAAAATCTTTTTGACTTGTTAAGGGAAATTTAGTCGATCAAAGGTAAGTAATTCGAATCGAGTTTTTAAATTTTAATTTTAATTTCAAATTTTCATAATTAAGATAACCGACAAATTAATTGGTACCGAAAGGACAGTACAAGGGTGTTAATCTTTTCTTGATTGTAACCGACTCCCTAATTCGACACATTTCTGGTAAAACATAGATCATGTAAGATGGTGTCCAATCCACCTAATTGTTTTTAAATGATCGGTGGTGACTCTAATCCAATCATTTCAAGTCGAAGCCCAATTCCGGGGCCCAACCGAAAGACGGCCGCGACACTAAGAAACACTAGGAATTCTTTATCAACAATGGATTCATTGCCTCCATTAGAGCCAACTTCAAGAATTCAATAGTCTTTTTAAGCTCTTCATTGTCAAACCACGTTCATTTCGAGTTCCCATCAAGAAAAGCTAGATCATTACGATGGATCCATGCTGGATATTTTATCACCTTTTTTTTGGGGAAGATGAAGCTATCGAAACGACATAAAAGATAGGTTTGGGGGAAGAAAACACATTGAGGGGTAAATTGATATTTTATCCCTGAATTATTCCGGGTTTATAAAAAGACCATGATTAATAATTTATCTAAACTTTAAGTGTTCAAATAAAAATTAAAACATTTTACTAACGTGCCACATTATCAAAATAACAAAAGTTAACGTCACAGTGATCACATCATCAAAATAACATAAGTTAACATCACAGTGACCACATCTTAATTAAAACGAAACAAAAGTGACCACATCTTAATTAAAACGAAACAAAAGTGACTACGAATTAAATTTTTTGAATTGAGTGACCATACGTTTATAAAAATGAAACTAGAGTGACCAACTCTATAGTTTACCCTTTAACAAAAAAATATAATTATATAAAAAAATAAAATTTAATTTTAATTAATGGCTAATATAAAATAAATCCTTATACTTTTTAATATTTACATCATAAAGATAAATTTGCTTGTGGTACATTTTTAGTACATCATTTTAGTGGTATATTGTGGTACACGACAAACCTGTAAAATCTTCCATATAAGTATAATATTATTAAAAGAAATAAATAAAATATTAAATATATCACAAACATTTAAAATTAATAGATAAAGTAATTGATATATAAAATAGACAAACAAATATAAAACGAAATACAGGGAATGGGTAAGAGATTCGGTGGAGTTGGAATTTCAAATTCATCTATGGGTTAATAAGATGAAAGGTCTCCAAAGTTTTTAGAACTTTTAAAATTGTCCCCAAAATTTATAAGGTTTCCCAAAAAAATCCATAACGGACATTTATTCAATCTAGTCCCAAATTTAAAATCAAAACAAATAAAAAATATAATTTATCAATACTAAAATATTAACCCCAATTTTGGAGTGTGACAAAACTATTTGATATATTATTTTTTATTGAATCTTCTTTTAAATATTAATAATTAAATAAGTTTACATGAATATTTATTACAATGTTAATCAAATAATGAAATTTTAATTGTAATGAAAATTCAATAAGATTACTTTTAATATAAAAATAAAAGTTAGTTTATGATTATTTTATTAAAATTTTGATATATACATATGAAAATTTATAATTAATTTGATTTCAATTTGATTATAATGAAATTTAGGATTAGTTAGGCATGTGTGACCACGTTATAATAAGAGTGAAAAATATATTAACGATCAGTGATTAAATGGGTGATTGTATTTTTAGAGGTTTTAGGTTCGAGCACTAGAAACTGTAAGGATGTTTGAGAATGTTTAGAACATATACTACCTTGTGATCACAATAAGTCAATAAGAAAAATAATTGATTAATATTTTAGGATGATCACATGATCCTATGTTAAAGATTGTATTGTATTAAGTTGTCGAATTCTTTTTTTTTTAGGTTGAACTTAATGGTATATTATATGTATATTATAAGATCAAAGTAAACTATATCATTTGAATCAACTAAATTTGTTATCATTTCTATTCAAGTGATTAAATCTGTTTAATTATGATTTTCATGATGAAATATATTATATATATGATTATTCTATGCTAGACTATATGATCATAACATACTACTCTTTTTATCCTACTAAATTTATTATCATTTAACTTTCATTGATTAAATTTATTTAATCTTAATCTTAATGATCAAACATATTATACGATAATGATATTAGACTACATGATCAACGTACACTACACCCAACCTACCGGTCATGTATTGGTCATGTACATTATACATGTACTAGTGATCAAATACATCATGTACACACTTATATATGTACTAATGATCATGTGCAAGTCATCATTATATTGCCATGTATATATAAAATGAAGTATACATATGACATATACAGATAAAGATATATACACCCCTCCCTGTCACCATAAATTGTAGAAGAATGTTTCAGCAAGAACCATGTCGTTTTCGCCAACCACCCTCGCTTGTTCATCGCGAAACACTTGGCTTACAACTACATTGGTCTTATCTCTTATGGCACTGCCATTATTGACCACATTTCACCAGGCTCGCTCAATGACAATTAAAATGCCACTGCGTTTGCACCATGGCAAAGAAAAAGACATTATTTGGAGAACACAACGTGAAATCAGTCACCCATAAAAATGCAAATCCTGCTTTCTAAATGAAAAATCCACTGGAAAGATAAAAGCTACATTGGCATTAACCTGCGAAAATATGGAACATCGTTCTGCCCGTATTTACAAATTTGAAGAGACATTGATGCAATACAAAATTTTCAGACAACTACAATTCCGAATTTACCTTCTAAGTAGTTGAGTAAAACTATTACATCCAGCTCAGCTGTGTAATACTTTGCAAAAATCCCTCTTCTTTAGAGATCCATCTTCCAAAAGCATTCTTACTACCTGGATCATGAGCTTTTTTTCTAGTGTACCAACTTCGGTCAGATACGGCTCAACGGTCACATTGGTTTTACCCTTTGACCCTGAGAGAATTCACAGGCTTCACTGAATGACGCCGGTCTAATTTCTGCTGGGGTTATGAAACAGTCCATTGACAGGCCTGGAACATTGAATGCCACTTCTTCAATTACCCATGCTTCCTCCATTCTGGTCCTAGTGTGACTCATTGCAGTTTCCCCAAAGCGGAAAAGGGTCACTACAGACTGACCTGAGTGAGCAATCATTACTCCCTCAACAGGTCTGTAATCCTCGAGGAATGAATTGATTGTTGTCTCCCAGTACACAGCAACACCCCCATTATTCTGAATTCTGGTCAAATGTGAATCTTCCAAGTGCACAAGAAGCCCCGTCTTCTGGCTGAAGTAGCCGAATAAAACATGTCTTATGATCTCCGCTGGTCCTTCACTCCTGGCCTTCAATGTTGCAGGATCCGCAGAAAGCTTGAGGGTAAAGCAGTCCTCCCCATTTACCTTCTTTTCCCCAATGCATCTTGCATGGCTAAACATGGTTGCTGTTGTTCTTGGATCAAGACCCTGCAACAAGAACAGATATTCAAATTTCAAGCTAAATGATTTCTCATGAAGAGGAAAGAACAGTGAGAGCAAGGACAGACGAAATTACCTGAAGGGCACGGCGAAGGGGTCTAACAGGCCCTTTAGCAGCATGTGCACCAAGCCAAGGAGTGTGCCTCCACACAAGCTTCCCGTTACACCCTGCATGAACCTTACTACCACCAAGTGCAAGTTCCACATACCACATGTCTGGATTCATTTGCCACAAGGCAAACCCGCCTGACTCCGCATCCTTGGAAGAATTCCGATTCTTTGTGACCTTGTTAGCCGTCTCAAACTCAGAAGCTATCATTCTCACCCTTCCCATAGCATATGCATTGTGGATCGAATTTTGAAGCTTTTGCCCACCAGATGCAGCAGTATACTGCTGTATTATGTATTGAGCAGATGAAGATTCCTGTAAAATTTTAAACAGAAACATGATACACAGAGATACCTCCAAGGAAACCCAGTCTTCAAAAGAGTGCTAAACAAATTCCTCCCTAAATTGAGCACCCCATACATGCTTAAAAAAAACCCACCTTAAGACTTGGACTGAAAATTATCAAGTAGAAAACAGGAAATTTTAAAACAGTTCTGATTGTAATCCCATCACATTCAACCTTTTTTTTCCCTTCTTTGATCAATAAATTAACGAAATACATAGCAGATTTAAACACAATGCAAAAGGTTACCCCTTTTTTTTTGGGTATTTAAAGCTATCCTATTTAACTAACTGTCAACATGCAGAGCTTACTCTTCATTAAAATCATGAATCTGCTGTTGTTATACTCTTTCTCGTCTTCTGGGATGAAAAGGGAAATCAAACCCAACATTAAAATCTTAGCAGAAGTGTTTAATAACCAAATTCTAGCTGCTTCAGTGAGAGCTTATTTAACTAATTAGATTTCCACCTGAAAAATAAAGCCTTTTAGACCAACCAATCAAATGCAGCACGAGAGAGAGAGAGAGAGAGAGAGAGAGAGAGGACTGACAATCGGTGTATCTTTAATGCTGAGGATAGGAAAAGGGTCCAAAGCGCTAACGTGCACCGGCGCCAGAGGCGCACCCAAGACACCGAGCAACAACCTCAAATCGGAGCGTTTACACGTTGAAGCTGAAACGGAAGGTGCGCGCGCTAGCTGGCCTTTCATCCACTGGGCCCACCTACCTTCCATCCTCGAATCTCCACCGTCGGTTCCATCGGGATCGGGACCTTCTTTCAACGGAGACAAAGCCTCCGCCGGCCTCAAGCTCCCGGACCTGAAAACCAAAGACTCCGGCTGCGACAGGCGGTGGCTGCCGTTGGTCCTCCTACCCCTCAGTAAGCTCGACATTGGTGAAGCACTTCTCGCCGGACTTTTGGCTCGCGAACGGCTCGGAGACAACCCCCTGACAACCGAAAAGAACCTATGTTTTCTTTCCATTTTTACGACCCAAAAATGAGAGGTTATCGTTAAGTTCCCGTCCCCTTTGAGGTCTTAAAGCACGAAATGAGCAGTCAAAAGGGTAAAAGAGAAGAAAGGAAGAACAATTTGAAAACAAAAGCAGGTTAAAAATACCGGAGAAAAAACAAATAGAGAAGGGCGTAATAAGAAGGAAACGTAATTTCAAGGGTTAATGTAAAAATAAGTGTCTAAATTATACTTAAAGTTAAATTTAGGTGTTTAAAGATTTTACGTTAAAAATATATGTTTAATATTTTTTTTTGTTACACTTTTAGATATTTAATATTTTCGACGTTTTATTTTTAGGCGTTTGGACTGTAACAACCGTTAAATATATCGAAATTTGACATGTGTTAAACACATAAATTTAAAAAAAAACACTTAAAATAAAAAATTATTTTAAAAAAAACCAATATTTTCTAAAATTACAAAAAGAAACTCAAAATCCCGAAAAATTCCAGTTTCAATCACTTATCACCGTTGATCATCACCAACGCTTCACCAAGTGAACCCCCATACTTCACATGATGATTGCAACGGAAAATCGACAATCATAACATAGAGAATCCCTTTAAGTCGATCGTGAAATCTTATATTTACACAGCCGTTGAGTATTCGTCCGGTCACGAAAATAAGGGGTTTCAATTGTTGGGTGATTGTCTGATCAGATAATATTGGGTGTTCGGTCGATTGACGATGTTAATGGTAGTCGACGGTGCTAAGGGATTAACATTAGGGTCCTAAAAGATTTTAGGTTTTTTTAAAAAAATTATAATTTTAAGGTTTTTAATTTAAATAAAAAAATTTATAGACGTGACACGTGTTATTTAACAGCCGAATTTAATGGTTGTTACAGTCCAAACACCTAAAAATGTAACGTTGAAAACATTAGGCACATATTTTTAACGAAAAATTCTTTAGGCATCTAAAGTTAACTTTGGATACACTTTAGACACTTATTTTTGCATTAAGCCTAATTTTAATATAAAGTAAAGTAAATAAATGATCACGACTGCAGGACACTGTTTTATTGAGTCTATCAATTATTAAAAGTTACGCAATGCTCCTTTAATTATAAAGTATTGCTTTGTTGAATCCCTTAATTATTAAAAATTTTCAAATTCATCCTTTTTATTTTAAAATATTAGCAGTCGTCTAAGTTGGACGTTAACATACTAACTGACATAAGATAAATCTGATCCCAAAACTGTTTGAGTTATATTTTGTGGATCGAGTCTTTGTTTACATTATATGATCGAGCTAGTGCTTAAAATATTATATCGTCGAGCCAGTGCTTGAAAACAATGGCAATACCAATAAACATCATTAAAATATGATTTTATCATATCCCGATCAACATGCTAACGTCTACCATAGAAGACCATCAATTTCTTAACGAAAAATAATGAGTTTGGAACATATAAATAATTGAGTGATTGTTTTGTAACTTTTAATAATCGGAGACTCAACAAAACAACGTTTTAAAATTGAAGGATTATTTTATATTTTCTAATAATCCAAAGACTCAACGAAGCGGTACTACATAATTGGAGGTCCTATTGTGTGCTTTACCTTTTAATATAGTAATAAAAGTAAAGCCGCAGGTCATTCCCGCCAGGCATCCCGGTTAGTTAGGTGTGTTTAGGGTTTACATTACGTTTCGTGGCGGCTATTTTTTTTTTTTTTAAAGCAAATTGAAAATCTCACGGGTTTTATTTTATTTTGGGACTGACAAAATAAAAAATAAGAAAAAAAAAAGTAATCTCGTAACGGAGAATGAAACGGAGAATCTGGGAGTTGTGAACAGAATTTGTGTGGGGAATGGTGCCGTCGTATTTATTTTTATATATAATGTTTGTATTTTAATATTAAAGTTTAATTTTCGTTTTGATTCAATTAACTTTTAGATTATATATCATGTTATATTTATTTTTATATATAATGTTATTTATATCATAAGAAAATTAAATGTGTATTATAATATACATATTAGAGAATTAAGTTGTTTACGTTTAAGTAAATTAATAAAATATGAAATTATGAAATATTTAATAAAAACATATACTTTCTCTAAGAAAAATAAAATTACATTAATTTAAATTAATTATTTACAAACACAAATATATTTGTTTATAACCTTAATTGTTTTAAAAAATGATTATAACCTTATTTGTTTATTCTTCCTAATATACCACACAACAAAATCCAAACATAACCAATTTGCTATATATATATTCCTTATTATTCTTTTGTCTAAAAATGGAATCACCAATTTATTATTTATTTAAATATTATCCATTCTTATGTTTTTCTCTCATCACGAACAAGAATAAACCGCAAGGATGCAGCCTGAAAATTTTAATCTTGATTAAATAAAAATAGTTTAAATAATTAGAACGGATACAAATATTAATTTAAATATTTAAAATAATAAAATGCTAATTTAAATAGTTTAAATATTTATTTTATTTAAAACAATTTTCTTTATTGATTATCCAACTTTGTAACTCTTAATATTTTATAATTTCGCACTCCCTAAAAATTTTAATATAAATTCTTAAGTTTCCACCCCTAAGGTAAATTCCTACTCATGTCTCTATCATGAAGGTAAATTTACTTATTCTATGCACGTTTTGTAAAAAATATTATATACTCATTAAATATCAAGTTAATACAAATTTTAGATTCTAGATTTATGGTTTGAATAAATTTAATCACGTAATTTTATTTGTAGATAAATATATTATTTATGTTTTGGGAGTAAAAACTAAATTAGAAAATATAAGAAGTACGTATATGTTAGAGTAAGTATGGAGTTAAACTACCATCTATGTTGCGTATGCTGCAAGTAATCTTGATTTAGTTGATAAACTACAAATACAGACAAATATCTTTAGGGGAAAAGAAAAACCTATATGAATAAAACACGACAACTCAACCTTTTCCTTTTGTCGAATATCATTTTATTTTTATGTATAGTATAAAAATAATCATTACATTATTTTAAATTATTTTTTTAAGTCTTGGGTTTTTAAAAATTACAAAACATGGATTCAATTTTTTATTTTAGTAGAAAATGAATATTGTACCATTATTGTCTTAAATTATAAATGTCAGGGTATTTTTACCATAAAATAAAATGAGAGGCGTTTTAGCCTAAAATAAAATATTGAGGGTCAAAGTAATTATTCTGTCAAATTTTAGGGGTTTTTTATTCAAAAATAAAATGTTGAGGGACCTTTACACATGATTAAAATATTGTGTGGAAGCATATATATATGAGAACTGTTAGTTAACACATGATTAACACTCTAAAATAGGGGTCTTTTTACCTAAAAATAAAATGTTGAGGACCAAAGTGAATACTATGTGTTAACTTTGTCTTTAATCAAACATTTGAATAATGGGCAAAATGACTATTTTAATAAACATTGAGTGGCTAATTCTGATATTATGCCTTTTTTTCCTTCTCACTTTTCTCTTTGTTCTATATTTGGTTAGAATGAGTAATGAAAGCATGAGCTTGGGTGGATTAGTTGAGCAACTTAACGAGGATAGGGAACCTTTTTACCCTAGCAGTTTCCATCTACATAGGCTGCCACACGGCATTTTAATCATGTGTTAACTTTTACATAATATCAAAATTATAAACGTTCTATTTTAAGATAAAAACGTCCCAATATTTATTTATATGATTATTATTTTAGTGTTAATCATGTGTTTTTAAAAATTATAAACATTTTATAAAATATGAATTAAATTATTTTAATATATTTTTTAACATTAAATTAAACTGTCATACAGTAAAAATATTTGTTTAGAGACATATGCTAACCGCAAAATGTTCGAATCCACAACAAAACATCTCCAACATGAACAAAATCCCATCATTTCCTGATTCGCTGCCAATAAAGTAGGATTCTTTTGTTCTGAATAATATCTCCCTTCGCCAATCATACACTGGTTTTTACATCATCATTTTATCACAGCTCTCAGCTCTGAACCAAAGCAATATTTTTTTCTGAAGGAAAGAGAAACTGTCATTGCAATTTACTGTGTTAGGTCGGGTTTGGAGAGCATCTAGATTTGGCATAACACCAAAAATAATGTTCCTCTTAGAATGAAGGATCTTGTTGCAATCATATTCATCTCTGATTTCGACTTCAATGTATGATTGTGTTTTATTCATTTATATATTCATCGATGATACTTGTTAAATTAGACAATGTTAGGTAATTTAAATTTGTATTTTATCTTGCGACAGTCTTAATATACGGTGAAAGAAAGACGTTATAGGTTTTGTTTTTATTTTTGTAACAAACCAGAAAAATATTACCTAAAACATTAATGTTTTTATAACATTTCCGGTAAAGTACCAAATAATAACAAAATTGGTAGAAAAAATAACAAAACCGATAGCGCTTTACCGGATATGTTAATAAAACCGGTAAAGCGTCCAATAATAACAAAATCGGTAGAAATAATAATACTTCCGGAAATTTTTTACCGGTTTTGTTAAAAAATAATAACAAAAACGGTAACGTATTTCCTTAGTTGTATATTAAGGTTGTCGCACGTTAGACTTTCCACCAAAAATATGTTATTTTACGACTTCCTTATTATATTTTATCTTATAATTACAATTTGTTTTTTTATAAATATGAGATTAATATAAGGAAATATTGTTCAAACACTTTGAATCATTTAATAATGAAATTTTGTACCCCTACATATACGAAACTCTAACTTGAGACCTCAATGAGTAACAACAATCCCTTAACAACAAATATAAATCTTTATATGCATCAATTCTTTTTTTATAAAAAATTGGGATGAATATAAGGTAGTATTTGTTTAGACTCGGGACTTCAAGAGATAATAATAAATCTCTTAACCACTAAAATCACTTAATTCGTGCTCAAATAAAACAATTTCTTCCGGTATAAAAGTTTTCATGTAATAAAAAAGTAAAAATCTAGATTAAAGGTAACGAGACAAGAATCAAACAAATTATTAGTCTTTTTCTTGCCAAAAAAAAAAGAAATTATATATGTCTAAAAAGAGCTAA